CTTGATAGTTCCCTCTTCAACAACATCTCGAATAAAATGAAATCTGACATCAATGTGTTTAGTGCGCTCATGAAATCTCTGATTTTTCATTAGATGAATAGCACTCTGACTATCACATCCAAAAGTTGATTCCAGCTGAACCAAACTCAATTCTGCTACTAAACATTTCAACCAGATAGCTTCCTTCACCGCCTCCGCTGCTGCCATGTATTCTCCTTCTGTCGTAGACAAAGCGGCAATCGACTGCAGAGTCGACTTCCAACTAACGGCACTACCAACGAGGGTAAAGATGTATCCAGTTGTGGACCTTCTTCTGTCAAGATCTCCTGCATAGTCAGAATCTACATAACCGAGAATTGAAATACCTCCGCCACTTTTTTGAAAGGTCAGACCAACACCAGAAACTCCTTTGAGATATCTCAATATCCACTTGACAGCTTCCCAATGCCTCTTTCCTGGGCTGGACATGTATCTACTTACCACACTTACAGATTGAGCAATATCTGGACGTGTGCATACCATAGCATACATAATGCTACCAACTGCATTGGCATAAGGAATCTTTGGCATATGCTCCACCTCATCCTCGGACTGAGGCATTTGTAACTCTGAAAGTTTAAAATGAGGAGCTAATGGTGTACTTACAGGCTTGCACGTATGCATACTGAATCTCTTGAGAACCCTTTCAATATACCTCTTCTGAGAAAGATGTACAGCACCGTCTTCTCTTGAAATCTCCATACCAAGGATTTCCTTTGCAGCTCCTAAATCCTTCATGTCAAATTCCTTACTCAACAGTTTCTTCAAAGCATTTATCTCTGTAATGTCGTTAGCAGCAATAAGCATATCATCATCATACAACAGTAAATAAATCATTGAGTTACCAGACATCTTCTTGTGATACACACAGCTATCAAATGCACTCCTTGAGAATTCATGTGTAGTCATGAATGCATCAAACCTCTTGTACCACTGTCTAGGGGATTGCTTCAAACCATACAAAGACTTCTTTAGTTGGCATATGTGATCTTCTTTTCCCTCAGCTAGGAAACATTCAGGATGATCCATATAGATTGTCTCTTCTAGATCACCGTGTAACAAAGCAGTTTTGACATCAAGCTGTTGAAGCTCCAAGTCAAATTGGGCAACCAATGCTAGTAGCACGCGAATTGAGCTATGCTTCACGACTGGAGAGAAAATCTCATTGTAGTCAATTCCCTCCTTTTGGCTGAAACCTTTTGCAACCAATCTCGCCTTGAACCTAGCATCTTCCACTTCAGGAATTCCCTCTTTCTTTCGGTAGACCCACTTGCATCCAACTGTCCTCTTCCCCTTTTGTCTTTTCACTAAGACCCATGTCTGATTCTTGTGAAGAGACTCCATCTCTTCAGTCATGGCTAACCGCCATTGTGCGGCATCCTTGCAAGAAGTTGCTTCAATATACGAGGAGGGCTCCAGATCTTTAATCTCTTCTTGTGCAGCTACGAACGCATATGCAATCAAGTTTGCTTGATTTATAAGGCGTTCCGGTTCTCGTGTCTGCCTCTTCTCCCTCCCCTTCGCAATTGTGTATGGTTCATTGACAGCAAGTTCTTCAAGGCCTACATCTTCTGACTCATCTTTAACCTGAGTCTCTTGATCCTTTTCCTTGGCAAGCTCCACCGGAAGCTCCACCTGCTCGTTGTTCTTGTTTCCTGAAAACTCCACGGAAACTTTACGGGGATCAAGTATAGAGGATTCATCGAAGGTGACATCTCTACTAACTATAAATTTGAGTAAAGACAAACACCAAAGTTTGTACCCTTTTACTCCATCCACATACCCTACGAATATGGCCTTCTTAGCCCTTGGTTCAAGCTTTCCTTCATTAACGTGATAATAAGCTGGACACCCAAATACTCGTAAGTATGAATAGTTAGAGGGTTCACCTGACCATACCTCATTCGGAGTCTTAAAGTCAATTGCCGATGCTGGAGATCGATTGACAATATGAGCAGCAGTGTGAACTGCTTCAGCCCAAAATACTTTGGACATTTTGGCTTGTAGGAGCATACAAAGCCTTTTCAAGAAGAGTTCTGTTCTTTCTCTCGGCAACTCCATTCTATTGTGGGGTATGCCTGACAGTCCTATGTCTTGAGATCCCATTAACCTTGCAGAATTCATTAAACTCTTCATTGCAAAACTCCAAGCCATTGTCTGTGCGAAGATACTTGATTTTCCGCTCCATTTGATTTTCAACCAAAATCTTCCACTCTTTAAATGCTTCAAAAGCATCACTTTTTGCCTTCAAAAAATACACCCAAACCTTTCGTGAGAAATCATCAATAAAAATGAGAAGATACCTCTTTCCGCCCTTCGATGGAAGTTTAGAAGGACCCCATAAATCTGAATGGATGTAGTCTAGCACTCCTCTTGTCTTGTGTTTGCCAGTGCTGAAGCTGACCTTCTTCTGCTTCCCTAGAACGCAGTGCTCACAGAAGTCAAGCGTGCTGATCTTCTCACCTTCCAAAAGTTTACGATTGCTCAACATCTCCAGTCCACGTGTGCTCATATGACCCAGTCTCATGTGCCATAGTCTTGCCTTGTCATCATTAGATAACTGCACTGTAGATGCATTTGCAGAGCCAACAATGGTGCTTCCGGCCAATGTGTAAAGGCCGTTCTCCAGCTTGCCTTTCAGCATGACTAAAGAACCTTTAGTCACCTTTATAGTTTCTGCTTCGCTCATGTACTTGTAGCCTTGTTCATCCAGAGTACTCAGGGAGATCAAATTCTTCTTCAGATCAGGAACATGACGGACTTGTGTAATAGTCCTCACGACTCCATCATGGCAGCGAACCCGAACTGAGCCAATGCCAACTATTGCACAAGTTGCATTATTGCCCATTACTACGGTTTCTCCACTTTTCTCATAGCTGTTAAACCAGTCTTTTCGGAACGTCATATGCAGAGTGCAAGCAGAGTCTAACACACATTTGTTTCCATAACTACTATTATTATTTCACGATGTTGTTAGTACATAATCATTATCAAAATCATGTACCTGTTCAACTGTGGATGCACTCGCCTTTTCCTTGGACTTTGACATTGGGCAGTCTCGTTCAAAGTGCCCCTTCTTGCCACAACCCCAACACTCTGTATTCTTCTTGTTCACACGAGACTTTGATCTGTGCTTTGATTTGCTCTTTCCCTGTTGGCTAGTCCGGCCTCTCACAAAGAGNTATCTCCTTCAATGTGCCTCCGCACATCACTAGAGTTAAGTGTCTGCCGCACTTGCTCGAGCTTGATAGGCTCCTTGTTATACATCATTGAATTTTCAATATCACGATATCCTGAAGTCAATGAAAATAGCAAAGCACATGCAAGCGTCTCCTCCTCCTTTTTNGCCACTTTTATTCAGTAATCAAGCATGGGAGACTTAAGAGGCTACTAAAAAACTTAAGGATGAAGAAGGTGAATGCCAATCTGATCCAGATGTAATTCCTAAACTGTTTGTGGACTACTATAAAGAGTTACTTGGGAAGAAAGCTGATTCAAGAGTGAAAGCCTTTAGGGGTTTCTTGAGTAATGGTTCACTTTTAGGAAAGGAGCAGCATGTAGACTTGTTGAAGCCATTGCAGGGAAAGATGTAAAAATTGCAGTGTTTCATATTGAGAGTAGTAAGAGCCCTAGGTCCAGATGGATATGGTAGTGGATTTTTTTAAGCTACTTGGAACATCATAGGGAGGACATCATTGCAGTTCTGATTTTTTTCAGAATGATAAACTACTAAAGCAACTGACTCGACAAGCATTGCCTTGATTCCAAAGATAAGTGTTCCTGAGTATGCCAGTCAATTTAGACCAGTCTCTTGTTGTAATATGTTGTATATATGTATTTCCAAGAAGATCTGTAGCAAGCTAAAGAAAGCTATCACTCATATTGTAGCTGACAACCAAGCAGCTTTTGTGAAAGATCCATGATGCATAATGTCCTCGTCGGCCATGACATACTGAGGCATTATAATAGGAAAACTTCTCCAAGATGTCGGATGAAAATTGATCTTAGGAAAGCTTATGACATGGTAAGTTGGGAATTCTTAGAAGAGATTTTGATTGGTATTGGTTTGCTAGAAAGATTCACTATTATGACATGTGTGTCTTTTCCAAAGTTCTCTATCAATGTTAATGGTGAGAGTCATGGATATTTTGAAGGAAAAAGAGAGCTCATGCAAGGAGACCTTGTCTCTCCTTTACTATTTGTCCTAGTCATGGAGTATCTTTCAAGAATACTAAGGAGTATGATTGAATTGCCTGGTTTCAAGTATCACCCTATGTGTAAGCAGTTAAAATTTATTCATCTTATTTTTTCTGATGACTTAATGATATTTTGCAAAGGTAATTTAGGTTCTGTGACCACTGACAAGGGTCATTGAAGCCCTGACACACTTTAGCAAAGCTTCAGGGTTGGTTGCTAATATGGAGAAGTTTAGCATATTCATGGCTGGGGTGGATGATCATACAAAAGAATTATTGTTGGCTAAGACAGGCTTCTCCCAAGGTTCTTCTCCTATTAGATACCTTGGTTTGCCAGGAAATGGAGCAAGTAGGAATGTCACCAGTTGATTGAGAAGATTACTAGCAGGATTAATTTCACATACTCCAAACAATTATCATATGCAGGGAGGCTTCAAGTGATCAATGTTGTCTTGTTTTCAATCCATAGCTTTTGGGGGGCTGTATTTATTCTGCCACTAAGTGTTTTAAAGAAAGCTGATAGAAAATGTAGAGATTATCTTTGGGGCTGTTCAGAAGAGAAGAGGAATGTTTCCTTGGTAGCTTGGGAGAAAGTCTGTTTTCCCAAGAAGTGTGGGGGTTTGAATATTAAAGGGTGCGTGAACCGGAATATGGCATCTGCTGGAAAATTATTATGGCAGCTAACTGAGAACAAGGCCTCTCTTTGGGTCAAAGAGGTCCACCATGGCATTTATATGAAGACTGACTCAAACATATTTTTTTTGAAAAAGGTAACATAGTTGTATATTGATATAAGACTTCACTAAAATTGTGAAGTCCCCCATAATTACAAAAAAGGATGCCCTAGCAAGAAGACTGACTCAAACATATGGATACATAAAGCTCCACAAGACTGCAGTTGGTACTGGAAGAAACTAAACTTCCTGAAAGAGGACATGCAGGTTTGGTATAAGCAAGGGAGGTACATCCTAACTCCTGGAGGAACTATTCTATAACAGAAGTTACATTTCCATTATTGGGACCCATGGAAGGCTGGAGATTGCTGAACTCATTTGGAGTGGAGTAGCTCAATCAAAACATAGATTTATAGTATGGATGGCTGTTCAAGGAAGGCTGCTCACACAGGAAAGATTACTCAAATTACATATTCCTGTGGAAGATATGAGATGCTGCTTATGTGATACTCTAAGCAGCACTTGTTTGTGGATTGCAATTGGACAAAAACTGTTAGGAAACCATTTATGCAATGGGCTGGTATTAAAATACAAGTTGGATAGCTACAACAAATCCTAGGCAGCATCAAAAGGAAGCATTGGAAGCAATTCAAGGAGGAGGTGATAGCAGCAATCCGGGGAGATATGATCTATCATATATGAGAGCTAGGAATTGGAAATTATTTAAAGGAGTAAATGCCATACTGAGGTAGTAGTCACACAGATTAAGAAGGAAATTGTAGAGAGGATAGATTTACTTAAACTTTCTAAGAGAGTGAATAGATGTAGAGGTTTTTTTCCAAAGTTTACTGTGTAACTAGTGACTTGTCTTGAGGCCTAAGTTTCACTTCACCCTTCCTACAAGGTGGTTGTGGGATTATGTGTTCTTTAAGTATTCTGTTTATTTGTTGTTATCAATGGTAATATTCGCAGTAGTTAGCAAAAAGGTTTAGTTACGAAATCTTGAGGATGCCAGAGACAGCAAAGATCTCTAGGTTTATGGCTTGTTAATTTTGTACTCAACATTTAAGTTGATGCAGCTCACTGGAAAAAGAAAATTTTATCAAGATATCTCTCTCGTCTTAGCCTAAAGGGATTAAATCCGCTCTTTTTAAATTCCAGAAGAAGATCACCAAATGAGTCATCCATTTAACCATAGGCAGCAGTATCAAACAGTTTTTGCTTGTTAAAGAGAATCCCAACTGAACTAAATAGCTGATCCATCCAAAAGGCTTCATCTTCAGCAATCTTCTGGGAGAGTTTCATAAGGAAAGGGGAACTGAATGAAAAGTGGCAACAGAAAACGTATATTGTCTGCTTACATGTTCACGAGGATTCATTATATAGACATGTTCAGCTGAAGGAGAAAAAGTTAGCAAAATAAAGGAAGTAATCTACCTGTGTGACCGTAGGAGAGTCATAACCATGAAGTCAGAATCCGTAAGGAGTATATTTCCTTGGGCATATAGTTCTAATAGAACATAATGAGCATTGGCACCTAGTCCAAACTGAAAGAGAACTATCTGAACCCAAAAAAAAATGAAGAATGGATAATATAACAGATTATGAAATTAACCACTAATTGTAGGAGAAAGAATTAATGAAAATTCCCAAACAATGAAATAAACCCAATGCAATGATAGAGCTATAGCATATGCAATATACCCTGTCATAACCAAGTTGCCGCACATCCTCCAGCCTTCTTGTCCTTATATGCTTCCTCAATTTGAGCGTAAATCCAGATGGTGTGTTACTTTTGTCCCTAAAAAGAGAAATCGAAACATAAAACTTCAGATAAACCGGGAAAGAACCCAGCATGGAGAATCCACAGCATATGTCATTGATCAACAAAGAAGTAATGCACTTGCTATGGACAATCAAACTATGGTTGACAGCAAAAGACATCCATCCAAAAATATCCAAGCTTACGTTTCTAAATTATTAAATCCTAACTTGGATGTCCTACTTATATATTAAAAAACAACCACCACGCTTCAATCCCAACTAGTTGCCATGATGGCATCTAAATCCTCTATATCAGTTCTTTTTTATTTGGATCTATTTCATTCCAATATGCAGAAATAATAGGATATAGGTCCTCCGAATCTCACAAACATCCATATCCCACCCTAATGTAAATGTGATTCTACTTATGTCCTTTTTAGTGCATATAGTATTTCTTTTCACCTATCAAAAAATAAGATACCAAATTCACTGAAAATTATCAATATCATATTTTCTGTTTCTACTTAAGTACTTTTTAGTGCATTTAGTATTTTGTTATGTATCAAAGACAACAATTAAACTGAAAATTGTCAACTAATTGTAGATTGAGGCAAAATTGATTGATTCATGGACTTATACCATAACTTGAACTTTCTAGTATTATGCCAAATGCACCAAAAACTACCAAAATCAAGGGTGTGTTTAGTAAGAAGAAAAGAAAATATTTTTTTATTTTCCCAAATTTGGTTGGCTTAAATGTTTTGAAAATATTTCACTTATGAACACATTCCTCCAAATGACTTACCTACCAAAAGGAGGGAAAACATTTTCCAAAACTCTATATCAACCTTTCACACCCTCAACCCACCCCCGC